AATTTTTCCTTCTCGTAATAGGGCCAGCCTTTGCGGAGGACCAGGAGAGGTAATGGGATGAGGCGATCTCCACCTGTGTTCAGCAAAACTTGCCACAGACGGATTGCTACAAGCCACTGTTGCCATCGAAGCTACTGAATCCGTGCGTACCCGGAGAGAAGGTCGTCAAACTTTTCGACTCAGAAGCTTATGATTTCCGACCGACCGGCACCTAGAAGTTACCCGCTGAACAGCAGTTTCGCGGCGATTATCGTGGTGTATGTATTTATGAATTGTTGGCTGTAGTAAAAAAAAAGAAAACCGATTTTGAAAAAAAAAGTTTACGAATGCGCAAAGACCTTTCCAACAGCCTTATATGTAACCACATGCTGTGAGTAGTGCAGTAGCAATCGTAGTGGGTTTTCTAATATTCTCTGTGCATAACGATTTCCCTATACAGTCGCCAAAAACCGCTCATCCTGGTATGGCAATTGAAGGAAGCGATCACGCTGGCCTGGCTGCTAAACTCGCGTTATCAACCGATAAGAACTTGAACAGAAACTTTCATTTCCGAATAATCGTGAGATAAAAACAACGGGATCATATCAATGCCGCCATTGCATCCCCTTCCTCATCGATACGTAGGTGTAGTCGTTACACGGAAGTGGGTTTCGGCGATTCATCACGCAACTAATATGGCGCCACTTCCAGTTAACGTCACCTATCGCCTCAGTGCGCAAGACCCCTACCTAATCCACTACGTAACTTTCATTACCGTCCCCATAAGATTCATCGTTGCCGATTTCTCTGAATATCGAAACTCAAACGGGAATCGCGAGCCTCTGACACCCTTCGCTACCTATACCCTCTTTGTTGCTTGCCACGTCGACGTACCGAAAACAAGCCAGCGCAAACGATGTTAGCCTAATGACGAGGCTCAGCAAACCCGGTAAAACATTTTCAGTGGCGTCGTCGTCTGTGCAGAAAAAAACAATGTTTGCTCCAGAACAGTTACTAGAAACAGGTGAAAACTAACTGGAGAGAGCGAAACAGGTGAAGCACCAGGAGATCAGACGAAAAAAAAACGAATTACAATGTTCCAGCAACGCAAACAAATAATCATAATCCAAAGCAGAACATACAGTTCGCATTAGATTAGAGCTTACTGTGACGACGAATGAACCACATACTCAAAAAGAGGACTAAAGGAAATAAAATAAATTAGGAACGGAGCTCGGGAGAAGAAGGCTAATCAGTGCCATTTCATTCATCATTTCTGACTACGCCACTTCACGCTTCACGTAGGGTAGCGTGCAATCTCCAACCAACCATGCTCAAACCCCAGCGATCAGGAATAGTCGTAGTCTGAGTCTCCATTTACTTATTAGAGGTGGTCTTAGCCACGGCAAGTGGCCTTGTTTACAGTAAAGCCAAACGCGAAGTCGGTCTAATCCTTTGCCGCGAGCCAATTCGTTCGTTTGAGGGTCTGGTGCCGCTATTTGGTGGAAATATCCCTCCTTATTCACTATCGGAATCGCCGTATCACACTTCCCCTTGAGGTCTTGATTCGTCGTCTATATGATTTGCAAGCTCAGGGATCGAAAGCCCCACCGCCAATCGAGAATAGTCTTGTACTCTATGTCACGACGTTTTCCGATAACTGGACCTCACAGATTGTTCTGACTGCTTATGTTTTTGGAACCAGTCTTTGCAATAGAACAATTAATGTTGTCCAAAAAATTATCGTATTGGTTATAAACAGCTGTAACCCAGTCCTGCGTGAAGTCCAGACACCTCAACAATGTATATGGAAAACAGCCCTGAGTCCGCCTACAAACCCACTGCATACGTTTCACATTTATGAGAGGTAAACTTTCGTAGTTACTAGTGACGGTCATCGTCAAAGTAATTCTGAACTCAAGCCAATATATTGTTTCTTTGTTTACACTGCACCAACACTGCACTTTCGGCATCTAATTCATTTAATATACTGTACTGGGAAAGCAAAGGGAAAAGAACCACGCTTGCTTACGTCTACTTTTCAGTGATTTATCCAGAAAACATCTTCATTAACGATCAACGATGTTCTTCGATTCTTCAGATTCAACAGACACTCTTTCAGGACTTGCAGGTATTGTGCCTCAAGGTTTAAGAACAACTGTAGAATCAAGGAAAATATCTGTTGTCTAGCACCCGGTAATGTATTCTTTGACCATTTCAATATAGTTATGTGGATTATCAAAGTCAGTTCAAGCTTTACGTCATGAATCACTGTGTCGCCAGATAATTCAATATCAATTTTTTTGGAGCTCTTGGGAGTAAAGGACGCTGAAGAGTTACTCGGGATCTAACAATTCATAAGAAAAGTACTAAAATAATTTGTTCAAGTACTTTGGTAGCCTGTTCATTGTCTGGTGGTCTTCACCGATGTCAATGTGCTTCAGTTCCGCACTATAAACATGGTGTAGAGTACTCGTTGGATCTGCTACATAACTTCATGCATTTTTTGTTACTCACTCGGCGGATAATACAGGAACGGCATTATCCCAACCTTCGAATGCCAGTCCCAGGGAGAGATCTCCGACCTTATGTTTTCAATAGAACTTGGTCTTCCACCATTTTGCGGGTATCGCTCCTTATCCAAAGGTAATCAGCAATCGAGTGTAATTTGTTGTAATCACGGCAAAACTTCGAACAAAGTAAATACCCACTTGTTGATGAAAATTCTGACCCGATGGCAGCTTGACCCAAGTATATTGGGCTGATCTGAAAGTTCGTGCGTTTTGAGCACTTTTTACAGTCGGCTCTATTCAAACAACAAACAATATCTGTCATCAATATACATATACTATGTATAATGCACACGTTTGCTATCGGTGTCTTCCTGAACCATTGAGTCATGTCGTACTTCACCTCGCGGTTTCGAAATGAAGATGAGACTGAGGTGGTTCTCGGATCCTCGTTTACTTTAGTATTTTTTGTCTACCACGTTTCTAGCAATACGATTAAATAGCAGTAAGAAGCGGATAGCGTAACAGAAGATAAAAATAACAGCGGATAGAAATGTGGTAGCTCTAAACTTGAAGGGTTCTCTTACATCACGGGGATGTAAGAGAACCTTCAGTTTCAGGAGCTGAGGAACTGCTCAGACTTCGTAACGAGTGGTCTCGGTTGTCCGTCAAGTGGGTACTCTTCGAAAGTTGTGGAAAAACTATGGTTGTTCCGCAATAAGAATTTGCTAGCAACATCGTAACAGGCAGAAGACTACAGCTTATTAACGGTGCTGAGGCAAAAGGGAGGCTGTCGGCGCCGGATGGACGCCTTGCTCCTCGCATAAGCTCAGAAGCATCGGGGTTCACCCTGCTTAGGAGCGGCGTTCCATGTCGGCGTGAGGGTACAATCGGGGACCTTACGCTGCGCCCGCTCTCGCCACTGTCCACGCGGGGGTAATATACCAAAGGCCCTAGCAGCCCCTATGGTTACTATGGCTAGCTCCGCAACCGAAGCGCCTAGACGTGGCCCCTTAAAACCTAGCCTACGAAGCGTTTCATATATTTTACACCTAGCTCGAGCATCTGTAAAACAAGTACACTACGGTAGAATCACCGTTTGATGACTAATAAACAACAACACAATAAGAACCATAGATTCATGTAAACTCTACTATAAGCAAATACTATAAAAAGAATGATAAACACTTTCTACGATATGAAAGCCACGACCTACGAACTCACGGGTCGAACCCAGTGCTCAATCCTTACGGGGGGAGACGTGGTAGCGGTCCCGCGGTCCATCTCGGGCATCCATGCCGTCCTGCCTTACATGACTTCCATCGACCATACACATGGATACCAAACGGCGACGTACGACGAACAGCAGGACTACGACGTAAGAGCGAGGAACGCAACGACCAGACTCGGCGAGATCGACGTGAAGACTGACTGACTGCGAAGGCACGCGAACTCTGCTTCTCTGTCCTCTTCCCGAACCTTCGATCCGACGAGCGCAGACCCAGACGCAGGCGCGACCCCCTTTAAAGTCGTGCGGAAGTCACGACGAGCTCATTTCTTTATATTTGAACCAATAACCGCAGATGGTAAGTACGCCTTTCCTGCAGTTCTAACTCTGTTGGATTTATGCTGCAGTCATTTCTAGCTGAAATGTCTTTTATCCTATGCATAGTCGTCAGATTTTATCCACATTACGACATTTGTTCCGCTCAGGGTTCCAATAACAGTCGGTGATCTGTTACAGTATCGTGTGCTAATAGCAGGCTGAGGTGGAAGTGTTCTTACATAGCTAACGTCGTATAACTTCGTAGTTCTGACCTACATTACATCTTACTTTTGAGCCCCCAAAAATACACTTTGAAGAATGAGCCGACTTTCTACCGTAATTCGTTCATGACTGCAGATATGGCTAGAAGGTTGCTCCCGTCACTGGTGCTAGTGGTTATGTCATCAGAGCACCTTATATCTTCAAGGTTGCTGGAAACATGTTGTCAGAGGTAGTAAGACTCGTAGAACATGAGTATAACATTAGTGTGTTGTGAGGAGCCTGCAGCCTGCGCTGGGGGGCTGGCGATACCTCCAAGAACAACATTCTGACCGAATCATGGAGCAGCTTTCGATCTAACCTCGCTCACTCTTCAAGCAGTGGGGGCAGTAAAGAGCAACAGTGCTTTTTTTTCGCATATTCGAACCGATAAAAGTGTTTAAAATGTCAACCACATTTTCCAAGGCTTCTGACACGATCTCATTTCTTGTGAACTTACATTTTCATCATAGATGAGTTACTACTTATGTTGACGTGTAGTATTTCTTGTTTATTCTTCAAATTTTGGGGAGTGGATTATTGTGAAACGAATTTTTCTTTCAATCTGTCGATAATTTCAGGGCAGCAAGCAGTACTTCAGCCGATATCGTCACATAAATCTTCATTTTGGATTTGGTTTTGGCTGTACACTATTTGCAATATTTTATGTCTTGGACTGAAATGTTATTTTTAGCACTGTAAGCATAATGGAGAGGCATCGAACTTTCAAGGTAAACTCTCCGTGTCGCTTTCACATGCCAATTCATTATTCTATAAAATACGTGTCAATGTGAAACTTCAGAATTCCTTCTATGCAATAGTAATAGTCTTCTCAATGAGTGTTGTTGTAAGCAGCTCCTGCAAGCTCGCTTATGGTTTCATCATTGTGCTCGCAGATGTGCAGTCGAAAGGAATCAATTGTTTATCGGTGATGGTAGACCTCGCCATCTCTTATTTTTCCGCTCTACTCATTTTTTTACTGGGCCTGAATCGCTTTGCCGCTTTTTCCTCATCCTATCTCTATGAACGCCTCATGAAAAGGTAAACCTGACGAGTACAGTGGCTTAAGTGCTCTGAGATTTTGCAGTTTAGAAGAGCTCTACAGTGCGTTGTTTTTGGGCTACTCGTGTTTTCTTCAGTAATCACAGTGCTAATATACAAGATCAGTGGGTTACGCAGATCTTTCAGCCAGGATACCATGGTCGATTATGCAGATGGACGTGTTCTGGTTCAGGTGAGCTAAGAGATGCCGTAGAGTATTGAAATATATTACCCCTCCTTATTCTAAAATCCATGTTGCTCAGTAGAATCTACAGTCAAAAGAAGAATGATCTTTTTCAGGCATCAAACTACATTTTCTACGCGCTTCCACTCTTCTCATCTGTGTTCTACCTATTCGCGTACAGGTCGTTGCGCTCAAAAAGAGAAGACGTCGTCAGCAATGCCACGAAATCTCTCCTAGACAAAGTTGAGAGATGCACGTTGAATCAAGGAATATGGATCCTTGCCATATATCTTGTAGGTTCTTCGAAGCACTGATCAGTACAGTAACCCATTTTGATTATGGAACTTGGAAACATGGAAAAAAGAACGTGGGCGAGTTCTCGAAAGTGGCCAGTTTTCTGAAAACCGTCCACGGTGAAACTGTTCGCTCTTTCCTCCCCGTGTAGTGCGTTTTCATGAAAGACCATATGCAAAAATATGATCAAACCAGAAAGAAACAACAAGTGGAAAAGCTCACATGGCGAACAGCAAGTGCCATAACCAGAAGTGCTGTAAGGGCTTAGTAGAAACGGAGAATGTAACAAAACCGCTATTCTTTTCTTCCAAAACGTTTGTTCGTGTCAGTTATCGCCTCCAATAATTGTGACAGCTTCTTCGGCACGGATAGCTGTTTTTACATTTTCCCCAGTTTTTTGGATTATTATCAGAACCAAAACAACCTCCGTTTTTTGCTATCCTCATAAAGCAGTAGAGCGATGGAGCAATGGATTTAGTGTTTTTCATAAACGATTTTTTACCGCTTGTTTGCTATCGTTTTTAGCGTCTTTGCAAGTAGTTTATAAACTTGTAATGTGTGGTACCTATGAGTGGTGAAAGTACTCGACACTTGATCGATTTCCCTTTGACAAGCAATTGAATTCATCTAAGGATCATAGTGGTCTTCAAATGCCATCTGGACATGCAGCTAATTACGGCAGATGATTCCGACCTTGACGCTGAACGATCTGGGGTTCTTTGCCGGCTAGCGGAACAGAAGACTTGCAGTTGACTACAAGCGATTTGATTGGCAAGTTACCTCCATAGAAAGTGATGATACCTAACCCATAAACAGTCCCAAAACGAGTTTGTACCACAAGCAATATAGGCTCAAACGTACAGTTTGTATTATGACATTTGTATGTCATATAACTACATCAGGTTCATAATGGAGCGAGGCATTATTAGGAGCGAGGAAATATCTCCTTTCTCGCGCGAATATATAATGGAGGTCTCCTGTCATAATAAAGACGTCAGCACTCGTTCAGTGAGACTGTTCTAAGTATAGTTATATTTGTCAATTACACTGTGGTAAGGGCTAATAGTAAAAATAATAAACCATATATTCATATGACGATCTAACTTACACCATTATAAATGCCTTCTTTTGTGCTCATTGGTATATGAGAACGACCACTCGTTACCTCCATGTTTAAATACCTCATTCCAGATGTCGCTGGTCATTCATATTGCCATGCAGCTTCCTTCGGTAGATGGCACAATGCTCATAGTGCTATCTTCTTTGGAGACGCTCACCTCCGCAACTCCTCAAGTTGCTCTTCCGATCACAGTGCTGATGTGCTCAAAGGAAGCTCGGAATGTTACATCGCGTATCTGTTGGTCAGCAGTGAAGCGTAGCATGTCGAGTGTGCTAAGCAAGCGCAGAACAAGTTCCGTACCATCAAGCACTAAAACACTTCCAGTGACACTACAAATTGACAGTTGAACAGCTGCTTTCGTGCATCGCGTACTGGGCAGTACTTGCATGATTTTCGGATTAGGTGTAACTCGTGAGACTATGTGAGATAACGTTATCCTTCTATTTTATAAACCACTTAACTTGGTGTGTCGGTTTGTGTATGTATGTATGTATGTGTGTCCGTCCGCAAAATGAAGTGAGTGAGAAGGAAGCTCATGGGATAAACAAACCGCTAACAAATCGGGTAGCTTACAGGATTTGAGATATCAATGTTTTGTAGCAGGATAGTTGTGATAACACTCTTAGGGCTATATAAACACCTGCTTAGCACACTTCCGTTCATTCCATGGTGCTGCAGTGGCAGCTGGAGGGCAGTGGAGAGGAAGGAAGGATGGGGAGGGAGGCGGAAAATCTACCGTCATATCATGATTATGGCGATGCCTTTACTATATGAAACTCCTTTTTGTTGCATACGCGTCACCTCCGTCAGAAGTCGAAGTGACCACAGCGAAAGAAGGAAAGCCTACATAGGATAGGAAGGTCCTGGCGGTTGACGGGGGACAAATCTGGTGTATTGATATTCCAAAGCACCAATCACTATTATGGTCTCCCAAAATTCGTGCCACATTAAAACATTGAGTACTTAGCAGTCTGAGATGAGCTATCATTTTTTAAACAAGAAGCAACATCTGTCATCAATAGGTGGACCATTCGCGAACATTCACACTCGCCATGTCCAAGCCGTATGTGCTCTCCGCGCGTACGTTCACTCTCGGCTTTACTCTCGCACAGTTCGGAGCCATGGTCAAGGAGGACCCCCCCCCCCAGAAGGCCCGTCGAGCGACGAATTCAGAGACGCAGGCGCGGCAGAGGACGAGTCGCACCACATACTGTAGCGGTTAGGCGTCAAGTTCAATAAACGCATTACAGTACGTCCCACACCATTCACTCCACGGCGTGGGCTCAAAAATGCGATATCTGCTTTCTGATATCTGTTTTCTTTGTACTAACACTTCCCTCCAGACTCAGT